GAGAGAGGGAGGGAGGGAGAGGAAGGAAGAGAGGATTGGAATGATACAAATCACAATGAACGAAAAGATACTCTCACTCTCTCCACTGCCTCTCAACTCAACCTACAAAATCCAATAGTTGAAAGCCCATATTCTAAATATGATTCCATGTTAGAATCTTGTCTCCTAAAATGAACAACCTAAGAATGATACGTGCAATGGGGTGGAATGGATCCATCGTATCTACCTTGCCATTTGGTGAACCGTACCCCCATCATAGAGAATTCTACACATAGATCGATAAAAGACTCACGAAATCGGTATACATCAGCCATACTAATATCTAGTGAATGTCCTCCACTGAACCGAGTAGCACATATCCATGCCACTCAATCTAATGAACAAGCAGCCCCCAACAACCAAGGATCTCATGAGGTACAGAAAGCAACCAATGTGGCAACCCAAGCTTGTCCTATGACAGAATCGGGGTGTCCTTGCAAGGCTTGGGTACACCCTGGACTCTAGGCACCTCTGAGAAGAGTGAGAGAGTATTAAGAAAGAGAAGACTTAGTGCAAGATAGCCCTCAAACCAGCAGCTCATGCCTTCCACATAAAGCCCTAATCCATAAAATGGTGTCTATGGGTAAGCTAACAATCGCAAACGACATGCAAACTAGTCACTCATGCCGACTTGGCAAAAATGACATGTCAAATAGTCACTGATAGGATGAGGAACAATCAATTTAGGTGGGCCAGCCATATGCAGCGTAGGTCTAATACATAACCGGTTAGGATGACCGATTTGGTTCAAGTGAAAGGCTCTAAAAAGGCAAAGGAAGGCCTAAAAGGACATGGATAGAAGTAGAGAGAAAAGATATGATGACCTATGGTCTAACCAAGGGTATGACCCTTGATAGAGTAGAATGGCACAACGTGATTCGTGTGACCAACCCTAAATAGTTAGGATAAGATTTAGATGATGATGATGAGGACGGTGATGATTAATGTACATATGGCCATGGCCCGTTCTTTTTCTGCCCATGACTATTCATTCCTCGACTGTGGCCAAGTCCATGGACTACCCTGATAGACTTCAACACACTACCATGGCAGTGTCAACAGATGACTGCAGCAGAATCTATGGACCACCATCGCAAAATGTGTAGCCACAGATTTAGACCGCAGATGACCTTTGTGATCCCACACATGCAACACTCGTGTGTTTTTTCAAAATTAACTCGACCAACTGACCGAAATTACTTCAAATCTACAGTTTTACAAGGCTAACTTAGTCGCTATTTGCATGTCATTTAGCCTAGCCATAGGCATGCATTTCACCAAGGGGAGCTTTATAAAAAAATACATTGGCTGTTATTTGAAGACTATATTCACTAGACCTTCTCTCTCTCTCTTCTCATGCTACTCTATTGCTGTTTCCAAAGGTGCCTTGTGTCCAAAGGTGTACCAAACCTGTAACAAAATGCTGATTTTACCACTGCAAGCTTGGACAGTCAAATTACTTGTTTTTGGATTCTCTTTCTACCCAATACCTGCAAGTTTTCTTAACGCATTTCACAGAGAATCGTCTTCAACCATTAGGCTAGTTGCAGCACTCTCTGCCACACAATCATTGCCAAGATTTTGACTAGATTACAGTAGCTTGATGAGCTCATTCCATATCTTTTACATTGCTATTTTGTGTCACTAAAAACAGGGGAAAACAAGTAAAGGAGGAAGTGTAGAATGGCCATTTGCATGCATGGTTCAGGTGAGGCCATAATAAAAGTTGCATCTTGCTTTGATTTTCTGATTATCGTGGGAATCTATACTTGCATGCAAAATATTTGATTATCAATCATTAAAGCACTATTTGCTTGATTTGCTTCTCTGTAGCCTAAGTCATTTCAACATCCACCACTTCAGAGGAAAGCTTGCCTACAAAATTTCCAACGTAACAAACCGTAATATAGAATGTGGGACTAGTACGGGACTTAAATGCCAGTAAGTCTCACCCAAACTAGAACTAGTGGGATGCACATGCTTTACAAGTGTAATTAAAGCAACATAGATAAAATACAAACTTATCTTCAATCCTTCGATTTACTATATCAAACTTTATTTTGAATAAATGTTACATGTAAACTGTAATTGGTAAAATATTTTGGATAAAATTATATTACTTCGTTTCTTAAATGAATTAAAGATAAGTTTTCATTACATGGAGAGTTTCTTTTTCAAAAAAGGATTTGCATTAGAGAGCTCATATGAAGAGATAAAAATACAAACTGTTCTTCAATCCTTCGATTTACTATATCAAATTTTATATTGAATAAATGTTACATGTAAACTGTAATTGGTAAAATATTTTGGATAAAATTATATTACTTCGTTTCTTAAATGAATTAAAGATAAGTTTTCATTACATGGAGAGTTTCTTTTTCAAAAAAGGATTTGCATTAGAGAGCTCATATGAAGCGATAAAAATACAAACTTATCTTCAATCCTTCGATTTACTGTATCAAACTTTATTTTGAATAAATGTTACATGTAAACTGTAATTGGTAAAATATTTTCGATATAAAATTATATTACTTTGTTTCTTAAATGAATTAAAGATAAGTTTTCATTACATGGAGAGTTTCTTTTTCAAAAAAGGATTTGCATTAGAGAGCTCATATGAAGAGATAAAAGTAACATCTAAAAGGTACGATGTTTGTGATTGGAGGAGCTTTATCTTCAAATTACATTTGAATAAGAGAGTACAAGAAGTGAAAGATAGTTAAATTAGAAGTTACCCTACCCTAGAACCTGTTTCTGTAGGGATTCCCACAATAGGTACCACCCTAAACTCTCTCTTGGTAGGGTCCTATTCTAGTTGAATACCACATGTCCACCCTTTAGCTCTGGCTTAATAACGAAAACTATATACTATGAAAGCCCAACAAAACAAAGGTGCATTCCAGAAGTATCCAACCTCCTCTCCAGAGTCAAAACATCAAATTCTTCAAGCAATTTTGAGGCTTACTCACACACAGAAGTATCCTAATTATGAACTTGGGAACTATCCAACTCTACAACCATACTCCTAATTAAGAGAGAATTTTCCTGAATAAGAGATAAATTTGTTTTTTCATATATATCGTGCAAGAGAAAGCATTGGATTTAGAGTTGTCAAAAAAAAAGAGATAAATTTATCTTAGACACACGCATGAACAGGAAAGAATATCAGAGTCCATTCCAACATCCATAAGCAAGGCCTTTCCTCAAATTACTACTTGACCTAACATCTCACTTATGGCCCTTCCCAATATATGGTCAAAAGGAGTAGAAGTCACCTTTCATTGAGAATCAATGAACCTTGTAAAATACATTGTTCTAATACTCGACGGAGTTAACTCGGAATGGGCAGAGAAACTAGGCCTTGGCATTCTGCCTAGGCAAGATTTTGTTTCCAACTCGCGCTTCTTAAAATATGTTAATTAAATTAAAAAATTTCTTAATAAGTCACTAATAAGTTATTTAGAAATATTAAAAAGAAAAAAGTGATTTAGAAATATGTTTATACATGAGTTTTATATTTTTAATGATGATTGTGAACTTTTCTTATTATATGCTTTAATTTTTATTTCCATTTTCTTGGATTTCTCTGAATTATTTCAAACTATAGAGCAAAATTTTCAAAAATCCATCTTTCATATACTTTTTTCACCTTTTACAAAGTTTTCGTTTTTTTTTTAACTTATTTCAGGTTTTACTGATTTTTAATTATTTTGAACCACTTCCTTTCATTTTTGGGCATGTTTTGCCTTGTTGAGGACTGAGCCAAGTAATTTGGCTAGTGCTGAGCCAAGTAATTTGGCTAGTGCCAGGGCCAAGTCCAAGGCCCAAGCGGATTAATAGAACATTGGTAAAATAAGAACTGTAGATCAGCCATGAAAACAGTTAGTATTGATATGTTTGACAAGATAATTTTTTACATAAATAGAAATTAACAGTTGAAATTCCATAAGAGATGAAGGTAAAGGGAAAAGAAATATTAAACACAGCATGACATGACGACGCACGCGCTCACAGAAGGGGAGAGAGAGGAGAGAGAGAAAGAGAGAGAGAGAGAGATTATTTTTTTGGGTAGATCAGTGGGGATGGAAACCTAGAGAGAGAGAGATTCAAACCTTGATCTTTGTACTTAGGGTAGAGCTCGTTCAATTGCTTGTAGTTAGAATTAGTTAATCCGCTGCAACAACAGATAATCCAGAGCCCGATTTGAGAAACAGAATTGTTGATTCAGCTTCGCGAAAAAAAAAGAAGCAAAACCTTACGAGAGCAAAATAGAGGGGGAAGAGAGATAGAAGACTGCAAACATGAAAATAAGGCGAAGGGAAAAAAAATGACGGGGAAATTATGCATAAGAACGAGAGAAAGAGAGAGACAGAGATCAGAATTAAGCTCAAGATCTCCAAATTCCTCACAGAATTCCAAATTCCAAATAACTAAACAATATGCAAAATTAACCAGCTAAAAAAAAAGCACAAAAAAAGGTACCATTCCGAAGCAACATTTACTACCAGAAGAGCCTTCCCTTTGTAAATGCTTAAATCAACATCATTTCCCTTCGCATCCTGCAAAAAACCCAATACTTGAAAATTCAAAACAATAACAGCTTTTTTATTATAATTCAGGAGAACATATTTCAAAAACCTGCCAAAGCCCCAACACTTCAATAAAATTCGAAAAAAACAACAGTTTTTTATTGATTATTTTGAAGAATATATTGCAAATTAATTTACTACTGAAAAGAGTTTCCATAGACATAGACGAGAACATCAACCTACCAGTGAAAAAGCAAGCAATAAAACAAATAAACCGAAATGGAAAGAGGAACAAAAGGAAGGATAAAGAGAATAAGGAGGATTGTAACCTTGACTGTGAAGTCATGGATAGAGCCAGTAGGGCTCGAATGACTCGCACCCATCACTAGAATTAGAATGAAATGACCAATGAGTTCTAAGCTCTATGGAAGGTTTATATGTAGAGAGAGGTAGAGAGAGAGAAAGAGAGATTTAATGAGTGCAGAAAATGTGTCGAGAGATAAGCGTGGGAGAAATGGAAGCAATTTATTTTCAGATTGCAGAGAGAGAACAGTAAATAGAGTTTTGTTCAAGTCCAGAGAGAGAGGAAGGGGGGGGGGGAGATTTTAGAGCGTGAGGAGTTTGGTTCTACTGTTGAGAAAAAGACAACTCGTGACCAAGAATTCCCTTATGACACCCCTAACTTTGGTCAAAATGACCTCTCGTTTTGATCATTTGACTACACTATAGTCCTTAGCTCCAAGTATAATCGCATGTTCGACGGAAATAAAAAATAGGATTATCGGGTACGCTTTCTATGTTTATTCTACGCCATACAACTTATATACTTCCTTTTATCCAACCGTTCATTTTGAATGGAAGGTTAAGATTGTCTCGATCACAATGTCATACCTCTATACTCTTTTATTTTTAATTTTTTTTTATAAACTATTTTGACACCAAATTTTATACGTCCAATACACTATTAAACTCGCACTAGCAAAAAATATAAAAAAAAATATTTTCAATAAAATAAAATTATCAAAATACCCTTGAAAGATTCAATATGTATTTTGGTAATTATATTTTATCGGAAAATTATTTTAAATATTTTTTATAGGTACGTCCCAATGACAAGATGGCATGTACCAAATTTCATATTTATACAATTTGTATAAAAAAAATAAAAATAAAATACTTTGAGATGTCAGATTGAAAATCAAACGATAAGTGGCTCTCTTGATCAAAATTGAACAACTGGATGATAAAGGAAGCATAAGTCTTCTATATTGTAGAGGAAGTATACAAACCTTTCCCTTATATATATACTATTTATTTTTGTTACAAGGAGGTCTCAACTTATTACCGGTCAATAAATCTCAAATTGGAAGACTTGGAATGTAATATAAAGTTCAAGGCTTCTTTTTTTTTTTTTAACATAGAGTTGAGCTAATGACACTCTCATAACTACTCGATTTGAAATCAGATCGACAAGAGTGATTGTAATTTCTTTGTATTGAAAATAAATGGTTTTTTTATATGTTTTTCCAAAATAAATACCCCAAATCTAATAATCCTGACCTTGTAAGATTGGCAAAAAGTCTGGTCGGGTCTAATTCAAAATTTTCAATGGAATTGGGTGACTGGTATGTAAGCAAGTGCCCACGCAAATTGAATAAGGGAATACATATACATAGGAAAGCATTCACACAATGTTTCAATTGCCTTGGACTTGGGGGCATTGAGAGTCTTATGGACCCACTGTCTTTTATGAAAATTACAATATCATCTATAGATTATTAAAAATAAAAAAATTAAAATTTTTCTAAAAATTACATGATCATAGATTGACTTCCTCTTTAAAACCATACTCGATGAGTATTTTTAAGATACCAAATTTTGAAAAAAATATAGCAAGATTCTAAAAGAAAAGGGAAAATTTGTGAGAAATTATATTATACAATATCATAAAAAAAAAATTATGTATATTTTAAATTTTACTCTAGATTATAGTATTTTTTTTTGGGTAAGTATGCTTGATTATGTTGTATATTGTAATTTTAGTTATATTATATTTCCTATACACTAGATTAAACCCAACTTTGGGGAGTTCGTAGTTTTGACTTCTCATATTTTGCAAAAATACCAAAAAATTTAGGGACATTTTAGTTAAT